TATTAAAGTTTGGCTACAACATTTCTTGCATAATTTGTTTTAATTTGTTGATTTAATGTGTTGATTGGGCAGACCTTTGGCGACTACCTCAAACGAATACGCACATAACGTGGGTCGTCCGGCTCCTCGCGTCACCTCAGGTGTCCTCTCTGCTTCTTTGTTGGTTGGTGTCCATTGTTAACAGCGCTTTGCACGTATCGAATTGAGCGATGTCCGGTCGAGGCAAAGGTGGAAAAGGCTTGGGTAAAGGAGGCGCGAATCGTCACAGGAAGGTACTGCGTGACAACATCCAGGGTATCACGAAACCCACCATTCGACGTCTTGCGCGCCGTGGCGGAGTGAAGTGCATCTCGAGATTGATCTACGAGGAACTCTGAGGTGTGCTTAAGGTGTTTCTGGAGAACTTTATCTGTGACGTCGTTACGCACACAGAGCATGCATAACGCAAGACCGTTACTTCTATGGACGTGGTTTATGCTCTTAATTGTCAGGGTCGTACTCTTTACGGCTTTAGCGGTTGAATTGCGTTGTAGTAGATGTGAGGATGTGGGTAAAGGCAGATGTGGACGCTCCAACGGGCCTGTTGAGGGTCACTTCAATCTTCACACTGGATTGCTAGTCTTTGCGTTCCACCATTGGGAATGGTGTGGCGTAGGTAGGTGGTGCAGTTGGTACTTGTAGGTAGTTTAAGTGCGGAGGTGGGTTTCTGCTTGTCTCGGTGTGGCGGTAGGTAGGATGGTCGTGTTTGAGTGCTGTTTTGCTTTGAAGGAGCTTAGGTCGAATGTGGGAGTTTGTGTGTTCAAAGATATGGGTGTGTTGTTTGCCTAATCGGTGGGGGGTGGCTCCATTCGTGGGCTTGTGCTGGCTGTGTGGCCTGGTCAGGGGGTGAGTTATACGATGACTGGGGGATGACGGTTGATCATCTCGGTTCCTCGGGCTCTTAATTATTTGTCGTGTCTCAGGAGTTGTTTTACTTTGCGACTGTTGCGCCATTGCTAGGTCAGATAGTGACTTGTGTCTCAACGATTTGAGCGTCTTTGGACTTGCATTTGTCATTTCACGTGCTCTGAGTTTGTGACTCGTCATGCCATACCTCTCACTCGTGATTTAGCATAGCGAGGGAAACGACTATGACAACGAATCATATTTGCGCGCAATGGAATGTAGAGCTTGTTCCTAATGTCTAGCACCACGAGTCAAATGCACTTCCGGCTCTCACCGACCTTTCGTCCTGCACCTTCCAATCAAAACCACAAAAACTGGCTTAGTTAACTCTTCATTGGCCCGTCAGCGAACGTAGTAGGCATTTTACCATAGATCGTTGTTACTTTGGCATTACCCAAACAAAATTTCGATCGTATGGACTTGGACACTGATGCTTCTGATTTTCGCTTGTGCAATTCGATTATCAAATCATTTTCAAAGCCAATAAGCTTGAGGTGGGGACTCACGCTTTTAAACATAAATGATGTCATAAGTGTGTTCACATATGGCCATTTGACGTAAATGCGAAAAAACCAATATCACTATTTAGGAACAACAATTTAGGGACAAAATAGGTTCTGACTTACACAATTATATAAAATTCACCAAAACTGTAGGTGTTTAAGATGTACAGTCAACCTACT